TTTGTATTTTTAGTTGAGACAGGGTTTCTCCATGTTGGTCAGGCTGGTCTCGAACTCCCGACCTCAGGTGATCCGCCCGCCTCGGCCTCTCGAAGTGCTGGGATTACAGGCGTGAGCCACCACGCCTGGCCTGATTTATTTTAATCCATCAATGATGGGATCAGCATGATAACAAGCCTGGCTCTGTATTAGACTTTTTAAATGAGAGACTTATACCAGCTACATTCATTTCCTCACTATTCACACATCCCTTAGCTTCCCAGATTTGACATTTACCCTCTCGCTTTATTAAACCTCATTTTTTATTTTTTATTTTTATTTACTTTATTTGGAGACAGGCTCTCACTCTTGTCACCCAGGCTCGAGTGCAGTGGCATGATGTCAGCTCACTGCAACCTCCGCCTCCTGGGTTCAAGCCATTCTTGTGTCTCAGCCTCCCGAGAAGCTGGGACTACAGGCATGCATCAATCACGATTGAATAATTTTTGTATTTTTTGGTAGAGATGGGGTTTCACCATGTTGGCCAGGCTGGTCTTGAACTTCTGACCTCAGGTGATCCACTACCCTTGGCCTCCCAAAGTGCTGGGATTACAGGCATGAGCCACTGTGCCCAGTCAAAACCTCATTTTTTAAGCAGATGGGTCTTGCTCTGTCACCCCGGTTGGAGTGAAGTGGTGTGATCATAGCTCACTGCAGCCTTGACATCCTGGGGTCAAATAATCCTCCCACCTCAACCTCCTGAGTAGCTGGGTCTACAGGCGTGCTCCACCATGCCTGGGTAATATTTTTTATTTTTTAAGAGACAGGGTCTTGTTACATTGCCCAGGCTGGTCTTGAACTCCTGGCCTCAAGTGGTCCTTCTGCCTTGGCCTCCTAAAGTACTGGGATTACAGGCATGAGCCACCATGGTTGGCAAAACCTCATTCTTGAAACTCACCATGAACTATTCTACTGCAAAACCCAAGTTTTCTTCATTCCTCACTATCCTAAATTACATAGTACTAGTGACAACTGTTCACCTGCAGTTTGAAGACCCTAACCCAGTTCTCTGCTTTTGTTTCTGGATACATCTGTTCTTTGTCATTCTTTCTTATGTGGAGCCATCCCCAAAGCACTGGGGTCATCCTGCTTAACAATAAAAAGAGTTACCACGTATTGATTGCTTATTCAATGCAGACACACTTCTCACTACTTCATAAACTGCAATTTTATCCACTCCTCACGAGAACTGTTATTATCTCTGTTTCATGCCTAGGGACACTGAAACATAGAGAAGTTACCTGACCAAAGTCACGTAGTTAGTGGCAAAACCAAGACTCAAACTCAGGCAGTCTGGTTCTGCCTTGAGGCAGACTACGCAGTCTCCACCTTCTCTATCTTTTGCCTTTGAGTGCCTGGCCAATTATCCCTTGGCCAACCTCAAATGGCTATTAACTCCAGAGTCAGCCATCTCTGAGCTCCAATTCCACCACTGCTACTTATTAGCTGTGTAATCTTAGCTGAGTTCTTTATTAGGTCTAGTCCTCAATTTCATCATCTGTAAAATGGGCACATAACAGATTCTATTTCTAATTCTCACAGAGTTGCTATGAGAATTAATCGAGCTAATATGAGTAAAATGCCTGACATTGAGAAGGCATTGGATGCTGGTACTATTAGTCATCTAATTATATGTTGTTTGTCTGTGGAACAGAGGACCTAGGTTCTTTTCCTGGGATCCATAAGCCAGCATGGGGAAGGGTTACAGGCAGGCAAATGTTTTGTGTGTACATTTATTTTTTCTGGGGAGAAAGTCCATAAGTTCGATCATATTCTCAAAGGAGTATATGACCCCCAAAAGTTGGGAACCGCCGAGCTTTGAATGAGTCTAAAAGGGCCTGGCATGGTGGCTCATGTCTGTAATCCCAGCACTTCGAGAGGCTGAGGCGGGCGGATCACCTGAGGTCAGGAGTTCAAGACCAGCCTGGGCAACATGGCAAAACCTCGTCTGTATTAAAAATACAAAAATTAGCCCAGCATGTCAGCGTGTGCCTGTAATCCCAGCTACTTGGGAGGCTGAGGCAGGAGAATAGCTCGAACCAGGGAGGCAGAGGTTGCAGTGAGTCGAGATCATGCTACTGCTCTCCAGCCTGGGTGACACAGCAAGACTCCGTCTCAAAAATGAATAAATAAATAAATAAGCCTAAAGGTTGAGACCTGCGTCTTTTACATTTCCTGCCCTCAGCATAGCCAGGGATACAGCCAGTTTTCACTAATGTGCATGGAATTGAATCCTCACTGGAACGCAGCAGCTATGTCAAGGCCGTGGACAGTAGGGTTCCTGACGTTGTCACCTGTCTTCATTCTACACAAAGATGCCCACTGTGAAAAGTTTTCTGAAATCACTTCTTCAGTCCAATAACAACATTTCAAAGCTGAGTATTTCACATGCTGCATTGGGAAACGGTGCTGATTACATCCCTCAAACTGCACAACTGTGACCTTCACTGCTGGCTGAAGTGTGCAGGGGGCAGCTGTTGATGTGGCGGGTCTGTGTTAGCATTCTTTGCCTTACCTTCATTTGAGGATTTAAGATAATAGCAGCTACCACAGAAAGAACGCAAACAAAAACTCTTTTATTTTAATTTGTATCCATTCTTATGGTTTCTTTATACCCCTCCTCAATTCAAAATGAATCTAAGCACATTTAGATACTGATTCCAATTAAGATATTTAATATGTCTTATCTTCTGTGAACTAGTCCATTTTGCGTTGATATAAAGGAATTCCAGAAATTGGGTGACTTATTTTTTAAAAAAAGGAGGTTTTTTTGGCTCATGGTTCTGCAGGCTGTATAAGAAGCACGGTGCTGGCATCTGCTTCTTGCAGGGGGGCGGGGGGTGGCGGGGGTGGTGGGGGGTGGCGGGGGTGGTGGGGGGTGGCGGGGGGTGGCGGGGGGCAGGAAGCTCACAGCCATAGCAGAAGGGGAAAAGGCAACAGGTATGTCACACGGAAAAAGAGGGAGCAAGAGAGATGCCAAGCACTTTTAAACAGCCAGCTCCCACATGAGCTAATAGAGCAAGAACTCACTCATTACTGCTGGGAGGGCACCAAACCATGCCTGAGGGATCCGCCCCCAATGAGCCAAACACCTCCCACCAGACCTCACCTCCAGCAGCGGGGATCAATTTTAACATGAGATTTGGAACGTACAAGTACCCGAACTGTATCACCTTTCTATGTGGCATCTGTATAGTTTTATATGACATACTGCTGCCAGTCTCACTGAATTTTTTTTTTTGAGATGGAGTCTTGCTCTATTGCCCAGGCTGGAGTACAGTGGTGTGATCCGCAACCTCCGCCTCCCGGGTTCAAGCAATTCTCCTGCCTCAGCCTCCTGAGTAGCTGGGATTACAGGTGCCTGCCACCATGCCCGGCAAATTTTTGTATTTTTAGTAGAGATGGGGTTTCACCATGTTGGCCAGGCTGGTCTCAAACTCCTGACCTCAGGTGATCCATCTACCTTAGCCTCCCAGAGTGCTGGGATTACAGGCATGAGACACCGTGCCCAGCTGAATTTTTAAAAATGCTTACTTTTTACATTCATTGTAGAGAATTAATAACAATTTTCAAACATTTGAAAAAGGATTTAAGTAAACTTCCCAAAGTGTACATAATACAAACGAATAAAATCAGCAAGAGAGGAAACCAGAGCAAGACTGAGATAAGCATAGAAAATAGAAGAAAATTGTGATAGGTGAGTGCATAAAAGTGGGCCATCAGGTTGGCTGTCTACATTCTAGGAGTCAAAGCAAGCAAACAAACAGATGAACAAAAAATAAACAAAAAACAAAAAGACAGAAACCTAATTAAAACAAACAACCTCAAAACCAAATTCAAACAAACAGGCAAACAAACAAAATCCAAAACCTGCAGTGTCCAAAGGTAAAAAATAAGTGCATTTGTCAATAGAGGACCGAGAAGGATTTCTCCTGTGGGTTTCGCGAAGGGGATAACGGGTGAAGTGGCAGGCCAAGTTGCACAATTTGTCTTGCACGATGTAGGAGGGAATTGAGTTTGGCCGTTGCTTGTAGAGTGTGTCAGTGAAACCAGTACCCTAACACTAAGTGCGATTCAGAAAAAGCAATTTATTTTATTTTATTTTATTTTATTTTAATTTTATTTAATTTTATTTTATTTTGAGATGGAGCCTCATTCTGTCACCCAGGCTGGAGTGTAGTGGTGCCATCTTGGCTCACTGCAACCTCTGGCTCCCAGCCAGGTTCAAGTGATTCTCCTGCCTCAGTTTCCCGAGTAGCTGGGACTACAGGTGTGTGCCATCACCCCTATTTTTTTCTGTTGTTGTTATTATTATTATTATTTTTTAGTAGAGATGGGGTTTCACCATGTTGGCCAGGCTGGTTTTGAACTCCTGACCTGACCTCAGGTGATCCATCCGCCTTGGCCTCCCAAAGTGCTGGGATTACAGGCATGAGCCACCTTGCCCGGTCCAGAAAAATCAATTCCGTGAGGGGTCAGAGAAATGTTCTTAAAGTACCTTGCTTTCTAATGATTTGGCCTAAAGCAATGAGGCAAGTATATGCATCAGGCTATCTTCCATGAAAATTATTTTCTTGTTCTCCAGCTTAATAGAGTTGAAGACTATAATCTCTAGTAGAAAAACAAACAAACAAACAAACAAACAAAACAGGCCGGGCGCGGTGACTCACGCCTGTAATCCCGGCACTTTGGGAGGCCGAGACGGGCGGATCACGAGGTCAGGACATCGAGACCATCCTGGGTAACACGGTGAAACCCCGTCTCTACTAAAAATATAAAAAAAACTAGCCGGGCGAGGTGGCGGGCGCCTGTAGTCCCAGCTACTCTGGGGGCTGAGGCAGCAAAATGGCGTAAACCCGGGAAACAGAGCTTTCAGTGAGCCGAGATTGCGCCACTGCACTCCAGCCTGGGCGACAGAGCGAGACTCCCTCTCAAAAAAAAAAAGAAGCTGGAGTGCAGCTATTCTACACTGCTTAACTAAGTGGACAATGGAATGTCCATCCACTCATGAAAAGTCTGAAGCTTCATAAAAAGATTGGTATCCTGATCTGCATGTGGCAGACTGATGGAGTCTACATAGATAGGACCAAGAATTTTCTCAGAAATGCAAACCAATAGGCAACCCTGGGCTCAGCATTGTACACCCGTAGGGCAAAGCAGGCAGCATTGCAGTCTGGGCACTCTCTCAAAGCAGGCGTTTCCAGTGAGACTGCGCATAGAATTCTATGTTCTGAAAACTGCCATGGCAGTCACGCTGTGCTTCTGGATTTGATGGCTTATTATCTGGTAGTCAAGGTAATTGGGGGAGATTTTTGCTTTTTGTTAGATAGGTCTAAGAGTGGGAACATCAGGGAAAGGAGACTGTTCTGGAAGGAGACAGAGGCACAGTGCTGTGAAACTTAGAAGTGAGGAGAAGGTGGGGGAGAGGAAAAGGGGGAAAGGGATGGGTGGATAGAGAGAGAGGGGAGGAGGGAGAGAGAGGGAGGGGCAGAGAAAAAGAGAGGGGAGAGAAGGGAGGGAGAAAAAGAGAGGAAGGAAGGGAGAGGAAGGGAGGGAGACGGAAAGATAAAGGAGGGGAAGGAGGGAGAGAGAGAAAGAGGGAAGGAGGGGGAGAGGGAGGAAGAGAGAGAAAGAGGGAGAGGGAAAGGGAAAGGAGAGAGGGAGGGATGCAGAGAGAAAGAAAGGAAGAGAGGGAAAAGCCAATGGAGGGAGGGTGGGAGGTGGAGGGAGGGAAGAGGGAATGAAGCGAGGATGAGAAGGAGAGAGAAGGCAGTAGAGAGGGAGAGGAAGAGACTCCGTTGGTTGCTCAGAGAAGTCACTTGTAGGGAAAAGGCAGCACAGTGAAGGAAGGGCAGAGAAGGGACACAAGGGTCTTCAGTAGCTTTTCAGGAGCTCATCTCATAGCAGAGTCTGTGGTTGGTGGGTCCTGGCCCAGAACATCCCTTTGCTGCTTCTCAGTGAGTTAAGGTCTCAAGGTAGTTTTCTTGTGGGGCTCCAGAAGGCCCTGATGTAGGTGGGCGTCTTGGTAGCTGTGACTTCTGCATGGAGACAGGATATGTGGATGGTGCCTTTGCTCAGCAATCCTCCTCCTGTTAACAGTGGATCCAGGCCACCTAGTTGGGAGTATTTCCCCAGGCTCCTTGATAGGAACTCAGGCTAAATAGTTCGCTGTTTTTAACACATATCCTTACTTTTTCCTGTGGCTAATATGGCCTTGAGAAATAAGATTGTGACTACCAGGAGTAATCCAGTAGAACAAATGCTTAGGCTAAATCTTGTCCATATAATAGTAACTACACGCATACATTTTTCTTATGCTAGTTCCTGGCTGTTTTCATGTAGACAAGAAGGAAAATAGGACAGTTAAACAGTAATGGTTGTAGTTTTTTGCTTTTTTTTTTTTTTTTTAGGTCTTTCTCTTTGCTGCCATTTAGCAGTTTGGATCAGCCTGGGAGCTGGGAGCTCTGACAGCTCCCTCCTAAACCGCAACTGTGGCTCCTATCAGCCGTGGACTGGAGGCCCTGTGAGTGCTGAAGCTCAGTTAGGCCTCTGTGAGTGCTGAAGCTCAGTTAGGCGGGCCCTGCCTGCAGACCCTTTGTGTGGATCTGGCCTTTCCTCTCTGCAGGGCAATGAGGGGGCTTGATGTGTGTATGACTGTGTACCACTTGGGACACTGTGGCTGGTCAGCCCCGGCCAAGGTGATAAGGGAGGGGATAGACAAGTGAGACATGGTCTGATAGACAAGACTCACCCTAGCAAGTTATTGCATGTAAGGCACCCAGTCTCAGAGGTGGGTCTGACATTCTGATTCTGTGACTGGGAGAAAGAAAGTGTCACTAATAGAAATCAGGAATATAGAAAAAGGGACTGTTGGAGGATGGAGGTGGGGGAAGACAAGAAAAATGTAGATATGATCACAGCAGAAGGTGTTGGCAAGCTGTGCACAAGGAGACAATGATTAATAAAGTTGAAAGGGTGGTCTGGACCTCCAGAGAGGCCAGACATTGAGATGTTTATAATGACCCTCATGTGGTCACCTGTGCAGAGATGGTATGTTAAGAGAGATGAGGAAAGGATGGGGAATCCTTGGTTTAAAATGGAAGAGAGGCTGGGCACAGTGGCTCATGCCTGTAATCCCAGCACTTTGGGAGGCCAAGGTGGGTAGATCACTTGAGGTCAGGATTTCGAGACCACCCTGGCCAACATGGTGAAACCCCATCTCTGCTAAAAATACAAAAATTAGCTGGGCGTCGTGTTGCACTCCTGTAATCCCAGCTATTCGTGAGGTTGAGGCAAGAGAATCGCTTGAGCCCAGGAGGCAGAGGTTGCAGTGAGTGGAGACTGCACCACTGCACTCCAGCCTGGGAGACAGAGCGAGACTCCATCTCAAAAAAAAAAAAAAAAAAGGAAGAGAAGGCATAGGAAGCTATCAAAGAAACTGAGAGGCCAAGTCAAGAGGAAGGAGGCAGGACAGTCCAATGTATTAAACAAAATACTTAATTGCACACTATAGAAATCAACTCTGGGCTGGGCACAGTGGGAGGCAGGTGCCTGTAATCCTGGAACATTGGGAGGTGGGGTTGCTTAAGCCCAGGAGTTAAGACCAGCCTTCAATATGCCAAAACCCTGTCTCTACAAAATATACAAAAAAAAAAAAAAATTAGTCGGGCATGGTGGTGTATGCCTCTAGTCTCAGCTACTCAGCAGGCTGAGGTGGGAGGATCATGGGATCCCAAAGAAGGTGATTGCACCACTGTGCTCCAGTCTAGGTGACAGAATGAGACCCCATTAAAAAAAAAAAGACAAAGAAAAAGAAAAAAATCAACTCTGGTTAATTTTAGGATAAACCACACATATCTAAAAGATTCTCTGGAAGGGCTGAAACACCAGGTTTGGTGCTCTGGCAGGAAGAATACCAATAGAGACTGCCACTCTTTTGGGGTACTAGATATGCTGTATCCCACCACTGACACCATTAGCTCTAGATGCTGACATTTTTCTCAGCACTGTGGCCACTGCTGCTCTAAGAGTTTGGTCTTTAAATTGGCATTTCAGTCAAAGAGGGATCCTCCTGGTCTTTATTTCTATGCATCATAGATCCTGAATCGAAGTCTGGGGATGGGGTACCTGGAGAGCAGAGGTAGGTCTCACAACTGCACCCTATTTACAAGGAAGGCTTGCAAATATCTGGCTTTTCTAGCTTCTACACTGGCATGGGAATCCATAAAAAGTGTCAAGTGGATAGGGAATGTCTCCTGAGTATGCTTGTATTTGGAAGGAGCAGTGGGGGGCCGAGAGAGAGAACAGCACCATCCAGAGACAAATGGGAAGGAGAGGGCAGTGGAGGGAGGGAGCACTTTGTGGGAGGAGTGGATACAGAGCACGTGAATTGGGAAGGAGTCAGGAGGAGTGGGTTCAGAGCATGCGAGATGGAAGATCAGCTTTTTCTCAGAAGCAAGGAAGAGGGAAGTCAAGGAAGCCCTCGGAGGATGGCCTCCCCTGGCTCAGAAGAAAAAAGTTATTCAGACAGGATGGGCTGGCAAGCCGAGGGAGTGATAGTGCCAGAGGCTTAGGGTGGAAGGGCTCTGAGAGGTTCAGCCACGCCCCCTGAGAGGTGGACAGCCTTCATGTCCCTGTGAGGCTGCCTGTTCTGCTCCTGGCCAGACTTGGTCGCCAGCAGGTTTTCTCATGTGGAATCTGTAGGCCTACGTGGCAAATATCTATTGTTTATCTTTCAGATGTACAGATCCAGACCTTCCTTTTTTCTTTTGGAGATGGAGTCTCACTCTGTCGCCCAGGCTGGAGCATGGTGGTGCGATCTTGGCTGACTGCAACCTCCCCTTCCTGGGTTCAAGCGATTCCCCTGCCTCAGCCTTCTAAGTAACTGGGACTACAGGCACCCACCACCATGCCCAGCTAAATTTTGTATTTTTAGTAGAGATGGAGTTTCACCATGTTGGCCAGCCTGGTCTTGAACTCCTGACCTCAGGTGATCTATCCACCTAGGCCTCTCAAAGTGCTGGGATTACAGGTGTGAGCCACTGTGCCCGGCCAGATCTTCCTTTCTATTGGCTCCCCAATCTCCACCAGGGGGAGATGCCCCTCCTCACCCAGGGCTGCCTCCCAGCCAGGGCTTCCTCTGCTGAAATTAAGGGCACAGATCTTCCCTCTCCTGCCTATGCCTGGATCTTGCAGCCTGGTTTCTGGAGTCCCCTTGGTGTCTCCTAAATTTCCACTCTTTCCATTTTTTTTTTTTGCGAGCCTCTTAGGCTAGGGGTCCTGGTATCGTCAGTGGCCTGTTAGGTTCTGGGCCGCATTGCAGGAAGTGAGCAGCGGGTGAACAATTACCACCTGAGCTCAGCCTCCTGTCAGATCAGCAGCAGCGTTAGATTCTCATAGGAGTGCGAATCCCCTTATGAACTGTGCATGCGAGGGATCTAAGCTGCGCACTCCTTATGGGAATCTATCTAATGCCTGATGATCTGAGGTGGGACAGTTTCATCACTAAACCACGCTGCCTTGCCACCCCACATCCGTGGAAAAATTGTCTTCCACAAAACTGGTCCTTGGTGCCAAAAAGTTTGGGGACCACTGCCTTAGGCCATTCCTAAAAGTTCCCTCTTGCTTAAGAAACCAGTCCCAAGCCAGTAACGTTTGCCACACTCCTATCTTTTATCTCTGCTCGTCAGTCCTCATCTCATCTGCAGAACAAATGGACACCCTCGTCCACTGTGTCTGTCCTTCAGTGCTGTATCAATGGGGGATTCTCTGGAGGAAGGCTTACCTCCTCTGATCTAGAAATACAATCTTAGAGATTCTGCTTGTGACTATATTTGATTATTTAACAGCTGGACCTTACATATAGTCAATTATATCCCTTCCCACCCCATGAGTGCAGTCCAATTTGGTCTTTCTCATCATCTTCTTGTTATTTTAACACAAAGGCAAATGTATAGATGGCCACTTATTGCTTCATCTGCTCACTGCTCTTCCCTGTCCCCCTGTGGTTCTCGTGGGGCTGTCGACCCCAGCCTCCCACTCTGTCCCCATCTACAGGGATAGGGATGTGACCTGGGCTTGGGCAATCAGATCATCTCATGCCCCTGGAAACAGCTGCGCATGTAACTGGAAGAATCTTTGTCTATAATTGGAATACCAAGAAGTTCTCTTTTGCTGGTGGTCTTTGGCTCAGACAATATAAGCTCGAGGTTATAAGTGGCACTTTCTCCAGGTATATGGAGGAAGTCCTTTTCCAGTGGGAGAAGAAGAGGCCAGCCTTCAGCAGGAAAACAGAGCTCAAAGATAAAGAGAAGGAAAGACAGTCCCAGTGACATTGGTTGAACCCCCGGCTCTAGCTCTGCCTGAACCCACAAATATCCTTTCTGTTTAAGCTAGTTTGAATTTTTTTTGTCACTTCCAAATGGATAAGTCCTGACATAATAATATGCTTAAATATTAGAATGAAGTAATACATTTTAATTATGAAAAATAGAGACAAGTAAAAAGAAAAACCCCAAATCATTCCTAACCTTATTTATTTTTATTTTAATTTTTTTCTGAGACAGAGTCTTGTTCTGTTGCTCAGGTTGGAGTGCAATGGTATGATCTCAGCTTATCTCTGCCTCCCAGGTTCAAGCAGTTCTCCTGTCAGCCTCCAGAGTAGCTGGGACCACAGGCAGGCACCACCAAGTCCAGCTAAGTTTTGTATTTTTGGTAAAGATGAGATTTCGCCATGCTGGCCAGGCTGGTCTCAAACTCCTGACCTCAGGTGATCCGTCTGCCTTAGCCTCCCAGAGTACCCTTATATTCGTGTGTGTGTGTGCGTGTGTGTTGTGTTGAAGATTGTAAAATATGCCCGCAAATTCCTTCATCCAGTATGCAATCTCTTTTGGAATGTGAATTTTCCTCTCCCCTTATGCAGAAGGGAAGTTTATTTCTCTCCCTTGACTCTTAGCCTTGTGATTTATTTAAACGTGAGAATGCAGCAGGAGATGTATATGACCTTGAGATGCCAGTACAACCTTCTGGAGGGTGTGACCAAGACAGCTCAACCCACAGCCCACCCCACTGCCAGGTATGTGAGGGAGGTGTACTAGTTCGTTTTGTGCTGTTATAAAGGAATACCGGAGGCTGGGTAATTTATAAAGAAAACAGGTTTATTTGGCTCATGGTTCTGCAGGCTATACAGGAAGCATAGTGTCAGCATCTGCTTCTGGTGAGGCCTCAGGGAGCTTCCAATCATGGTGGAAAGGGAAGGGAAGCTGTCATGTCACATGGAGAGAGAAAGGGAGCGAGAGAGAGAGGAGGACATGCCAGGATCTTTTTGAACAACCAACTCTCATGCAAACTAAAAGAGTGAGAACTCACTCATTACTGAAGAACGGCGCCAAGCCATGCATGAGGGATCTGCTCCCATGACCCACACACTTCCCACTAGGCCCCATCTCCAACATTGGGGACCAATTTCAACTTCAAATTTGGAGGAGAGAATTATCCCAACTATATCAGGAGGTCATCTTGAACCCTGCTGTCTCTCCATCAGAATCCAACTGTGGAGGAACTGCCCAGCTAACCCTCAGAATCATAAGAAATAATAAATCTTAGCTGTTTTAAACCACTAAGTTTTGGAGTGAATTATGCAGCAAAAGCTGAAACTGATGGTGTCCTGCATGTCCCACAGAACTGCATATAACCATTTCCCCACCTTATTAAATCTTTATTAAGGCTACTTTGGTTGCAAACATCATAAACCAACCCCAGCCAGCTTAAACAAAAGGAAAGTGCATTAGAATGTTCCTAATGTAAGTCAAGGAAGAGAAAATAAAGTTGGGAAGCGGAGAAATCACGGCGTCCGCGGACTCATTAGCAGCAGGGTATCATGGAGTTTCCGTCCAGAAGAGACTGCCATTAACACAATCCCGTGCTAATGACTGGACTAGTAACTTCAAGTTTTCAGAGCAGACGGTCTGAGCCTCCCCATTTTGGGCCAGTACCCGCCTCTGAATCATTTAGCTATGATGAGGTGGGGGGCGCTGGTGGGAGGCAGGATGCGGACACGTAGAAAGTAGGTGAATTCGTGGGAATCCTGACGTGGAAGCCGTGAGTGCTACTCACGGCCTGGGCCTGCTTTTTAACTGCTACATATATTTTGATTTTCCAAAAGTTTTTTTCCTTTCAAATCTTTTTGCGGCTACTGTATCAAGGCTCTTTTTTAAGAAACGGAAAATAGTGCAGGACCACTTTGGAAACTGTAACAAATGGGGCAACGTTGTACACTTCTGCACAACGTAACTGGATCTGTGAAGGTTTTAAGTGCAAAAAGGGAAAATAGTGCGGGGCCACTTTTGAAACTGTAACAAATGGGGCAATGTTGTACACTTCTGCACAACGTAACTGAATCTGTCAAGGTTTTATGTGCAAACGGGTCTCTGAGCAAGTGAAATGGTTTTGATGAAAATCTAAAAGAATTTGGGGGGTGTAGACATAAAAGGGAGCCAGAGTAACAGGTGTTGTGAACACAGAGAGGAAGAACGGGTAGGCTTCGAATGGGGACAGAGAGTGTCGCCCCCAGTCGCAGCCTGGGGGGCTACATTTCTGAAGGGAGCATCTCTTGCCCCTAACTGACGACTCCTGCAGAGTGACGCGTGCTGGGACCAGGGTGAGCGGGCACCTCGAATAAGTGGGCCAGGGACCTGGGCCTGGGCCCCTTGGACTGTCAGGCCCGCCCGCACCCCCACGCCTCGCGCTCTGCACGGAAGCAGCCGCCCCCACGGAGCGGGCGGAGGCCCAGGGGCCAGGAGCGCGCGGGGAGGCTCCCGGACTGAGGCGGCGCCACCGCCTCCCGCCTGCTGCTGGAGCGCGGGCAGCCGCGGCGACATCTTGTTCAGGAGGAAAGCGCGCGGGAGAGCGAGGCGCGCTTTAGCTGCTGCGCCACGCGCACCTCGGGCCTGGGCGCAGAGGATCGGCCGGGCGTGGCGGGAAGGAGGTAAGGCAGCCCCGCGGGACCGCACGCCTAGCTCAGGGGGCGTCTCGGGAGACCCCAGGATCACCCGATCACGGGCCCCGCCGCTCCCCTGCCTCGCTCTTCCTCCCGCTCAGCCCCCGTTTCCCGCGGTCCCCTCGCCCCAGCCCGCAGCCTCCCTGCCTTCCACCCTCTGAGCAGCCCTCCTCGGCGTCGCGCCCCTCAACCCCAGCAGCCCGGGTCCCCGCCTCTGCTCTTGGTCTGGGCCGCCGAGTGAGGCCGCCCCCGCCCCGCCCCCGCCGGGACCCGCCCCCTGCTCCCGTCCGGGCGGGGCTCCGGGTTTAAACGTCGCGGCGGGCAGGGCCGGCGGAGGGGCGGGGCGGCCTCTGTGTCGTGTACCGGGTCCCGTAGGCTGCGGGCAGCGCGGAGCGGCTGGCGCTTGAGACGGCGGACGGCACCATGTCCCCGGGGAGCGGGGTGAAGAGCGAGTACATGAAGCGCTACCAGGAGCCGCGCTGGGACGAGTACGGGCCGTGCTACCGCGAGCTGCTGCACTACCGCCTGGGCCGCCGGCTGCTGGAGCAGGCGCACGCGCCCTGGCTCTGGGACGACTGGGGCCCGGCCGGCTCCTCGGAGGACTCGGCGTCGTCAGAGTCGTCGGGCGCCGGGGGCCCAGCACCCCGGTGCGCCCCGCCCTCGCCCCCGCCGCCGGTAGAGCAGGCTGCCCAGGAGGAAGCGGAACGGCGGGCGCGCGGGGCCCCGGAGGAGCAGGGCGCGGAGGCCGGGGACGCGGAGGCCGAGGACGCGGAGGACGCGGCTCTGCCAGGTACTGGGCCTGGAGGGGAACGCGAGGGGCCTGCGCGCAGGGACAGTTTGCTCGAAGCTCGCAGCAGCTGATCTCTATTTCTTGCGCCGCTTGGAGTGGGCTCTTCCTTTTTTTTTTTTTTTTTTTTTTTCCGGTTGACAGAATCAGGTGGGAGCCTTTGCCACCCTTTATTTGCTTAATTAGGTGGCTTTCGATGGAGCCAGCGGTGAACTCAATTCAAACGCCGCTGGCTGAGTCCGGGGTCTTTCCTTGTGGGCCTCTGCGGCTTGGCGAACCACTGAGTCCCATCTGCTTATTTCTAAGCGCCCATTTTTGATCAGAGGAGCCCCAGCTTTCATCACATTCTCAAAGGTGACCCAAAAGGTTAAGAACCACAGGACTAAGCTTTCTGTCTGATGAATGGGGCCGTTGTTTTTCGTATTAACTCCCCGACCTCGCTGCGCTGTCCCTAAAGAATATTTTGCATTTGTTTACATGGAGTGTTGTATAACTTGGCTGTGAGAGCATCTTTGTAAGTGCTAGGTCCTCTCCCCTTCCGTCCCACCGCATCCTCCCTCGCCCCTCCAGATCCGAAAGCACCGGTGGCGCTGCGCGTGTTTTCAGCCATGGCCCTTCACCTTCTTTCCTGCCCAGAGGGTTGTAGACTGGGGACTGTCAGCATGTGAGGCTGGTGCCGAGGACCCAGTTCAACGCCTCAGTACAGCCTGGAGTAACCAATGGTTCCTTCCTGCTCCTCTTACGTTGGCCAGGCACCACCAGATCACTGGATTTTAAAAAGGCTTGAGTGAGGAAAACATGGAAGATGTATTTGGAAAATGTATTCCTAGATCAATCACTGATCTAGGAATATGTATGTTGTCATTTAATGTTCAAAACAATCCCCAAACAGACCCTGTTTTAATCTCTCTCTCTCTGTGTGTGTGTGTGTGTGTGTGTGTGTGTGTGTGTGTGTTTTCATTTGAGATGGAGTCTCGCTCTGTAGCCCAGGCTGGACTGCAGTGGCGCGGTCTCAGCTCACTGCAACCTCTGCCTCCCGGGTTCAAGCGATTCTCCTGCCTCAGCCTCCGGAGTAGCTGGGATTACGCGCACGCGCCACCACGCTCGGCTAATTTTTGTGTTTTTGGTGGAGACGGGGTTTCACCATGTTGGTCAGGCTGATCTCAAACTCTGGACCTCGTGATGCGCCCGCCTCGGCCTCCCGAAGTGTTGGGATTACAGGAGTGAGTCACCATGCTCGGCCCTAGTCTCAGTTTTATAGATGAAGAAACGGAAGCTCAGAATCAGTGACTTTATTCACTTATGTGTTTATTTTTGTTTACCCGATTGCAAGCCAATCAGACTGTTCCTGGCTTCTCTGTGAGAGGCTGAGGAGGAGATGAAATTTCGGCTGTGAGCCGGGTTGCTTTGCTCTTGGTTTTACCATCTTCAGCTATTTTCAGCACATCATGGGAGGCAGGGCTGCCTCCTGCCATCATCATGTTACTTGTGAATTCCCACAAATCCTGATGCTTCAGTGATCACTGCTAGAAATGCAAATAACAGAAGGTGGAGGGGGTAGGGAACATGCCTTCCAGATTATTCCTGTGGGTGCTGATCTGCTAGCTAAATTGAGATGTACTTTATCAGGCTAAATGGCTTTTCTCTACCCCATCTTTTATGGTTTGTGATGGAGCTGTCAAATGTTTATATGCAATGTAAATACAATTTTTAGGCAGCATTGTGCTATGGATGGTGCCTGTGTTTACCAGCTCGGGTAAGCTCTGAGTTCATGATCCTTTTGGTTTCCTTAGAGAGAGTGTCCTCTCAGTTATTTCTTCCCTGCTCACATTTCTGGTTTAGGCATCAGGAAGAAGAAAGGATATTTTCTGCTTTCAGGACTCACAATCACAGCATCTTTTGTTTTGCTCCCACCTGTAAGAGGCCCTCTTGACTCCTGTGTTGCTTGCACAAGATTAAATATCCTGGTTTTTAAGTGGATGGTTTTAAATACTAGTGCAATGAGCACTCTTTTGAGTTTCTATGAAATATAAAAGTTCTCACTTTCCCTGAAGCCACAGATGCATATAGAATCACGTAGTTCCATCTGACTTACTACAAAAGCACATCAGCCTCCTGCCACACATAACACCCTGGTTTTTCCTTTGGTATTTATTTCTGTACCTCTAAGTAACATGACTTTTATTGATATTTGATTGCTTTTTTTTTTTTTCAGTTTTTAACATTATCTGTTGACTTTAATTCTTTTTTACTGCTCTCCTCACCCACACAGACACGACCCATCTCCACACCTGCTCAGTACAGTCATCATAGAGTTTGTTGGATTCATAATTAGTATCTACCATATTGTGCCCATGGAAAAAGTTACTCAAAGCCGACCCATACTGTTTCCCATGATTCCCTTTTTTCTTTCACAATATAACCAACACATCAGGTTCTCTATCACTCTTGTCATCTAAAGTCACCCCTCCCAGGGCCCCTGACCTACTTCTGTCCGGGCTGGCTGCTGCTCCTGTGGCCTGCTGCTGCTCTTGTGGCCTGCTGCTGCTCTTGTGGCCTGCTGCCTGGTTGGCATCTTGGGAGGGCCCTTGGCCATCCTCCTAGGACCTTTCTTGGCTTCTCTCTTGGGTTTGAGTCTCTGTCATGTGGCTCTCATGTCATTTTCTTTCTTGGTTTACCCCTTCTTGGTGGAGCACATCTTCTAGTAGATTCCCAAGAAAGGATGGCTCAGAGGTTAGTTTTCTTTGAATGCCAAGAGGTAGCTTTATTCTACCCTTACAATTTGGTGAGTGTGGCTGGGCATGGAATTCTAGGTTGGAAAAGTTGTCTGGAGGCATTCCTCCTTATGTGTTATGACTGCTGATGTTACAGCCTGCATCATTATGATTCTTCATCTTGATGTTTCATAGGTAACGTGTCCCTCTCAGGAAGCTTTCAGGGTCTTTCAGATCCTATTTTTCTTTTAAATTTAAGAGCTCTTGAATTGTTTTCTGGGCTGCCATTTATTCCCTTCCTTCCCTCACTCCTTTCCTTCCCTTTTTATTTCTTTTTAAAACACAGTATCTGGTTCCTGATTCATGCATATAGGGTTTTATCTTACTGAGGATATATATTAGAAGTTTTTGTTTGTTTTCTTCTCTTCCTGTGTTTCTTCAGCAGTCTTTCACCCCTGCCTCTTTGTTTCTTTTTGCTGGCAATTCTCTATTTCATGTTAGGCACTTTTCTGAAATGTCTAATGATCCTTGGTTTTTTATTCCTATTTAAGGAATGGATACTAAAAAGCTGTTAGGAAATTCTGTGTGTGTATGTGTGTATGTGTGTGTGTGTGTGTGTGTGTGTGGTGAGATTATTTTCCTCCTATAGCCAATATGCTGTGAAGAGTGGTCTAGACTGTCTCCCATTCCTTACTTCATAGTCACGTTTTCTTTTTAGGTTAGATTTTATTTTTAGCAAAGTTTACATATGCAGTAATTTTAAAATTTTCACTTAAAATGAAAAAAATATGATCTTGCCCCATTTCCCACGTATGTCCCTTGCTGCTTTCAACTCAATTTCACTTTCCTTTCAGCATTGGCCACCCTCTTTTCCTTTAAACTTATCTGTTGGCTTTTTTGATTGTGAACATTATTTACTGACTTCCCATTATGGGAGATGAAGATTTAGCTCAGGATCTTAGCTCTGCCTTCCCTACTCTACCCCCAGACACATACCAACACCCATCTCCACCAGATCCCCACAATATTAACTATATGATTGCTTTGTTTAATCTCTGTTCTGTGTTTGAATTATGACTGTGTAAATATTTGCAGGTGAGCCATGTAATATATATCTGATTACATTTTTTTTGTTAAAATTTATGGTTTTCCTGAAATTAATAATTGTTTCACTTTTTTTATTGCTCATTTCGTTGTTTTTTGCGCCTACTCCAGTAATAGGATTATTTAAAAATAAGCTACCTATCACTGCCTATCACTGTTTCTTATTTCTTATTTGTTTTAGCTATCACTAATGCCTGAAATGGTCTGATAGTACTGTGAAACTTGCCATATGTCAGATATATTGGGTGTTCTATTCATCTGATTTTATTTTTTTCCCTTGGAGACTTTTTTTTTTTTTGAGCCCTTGATCTTTTTGTTCCAGTCTAGATTTTATACTGTCCAGCCCTGGCACAGCTGCTGAACTGGGCTTTCTTTACCATTTCCCTCCTTTGTGTGATCCCCTGTCTTGCACATCTCAAGTCTTCCTTTTGCTTGGCCTATTCCTTCCTTCTGATGGAATACATCCTCTGTAGATCCTGAGGATCTACAGAGTGGGAATTAGAAATTTTGTAACCTTGCATATCTGAAAATGCCTTTATTATATCCAGGTTTGATATTTTGGCAAGGTAGATACATCTAGATTGGAAACCTCAGCATTTGAGGCGTTATAATAACACTGAATCCTAGCTTCTGGTCATAGTGTTGAGAAGTACCATGCCATTCTGACACCCGCTTTGTGTGTGTGACCCCACTATGTTTGTTTTTGTTGTTTTGTTGGAAACTTTTAGGAGATTCTTTTTATCTTTTTTATTTTATCTTTTTATCTTTTTAGGAGATGTTCTGAAATTTTGTGATGTGCCTGTGTGTGTCTTTTTTTCTTTCATTTGGCTGGCCCTTTTCATTCTGGAAGCTTCTTTCAGTTCAGTGATATTTCCTATTTTCCTGTTTAAAAATAATTTTCTGTGCTCCATATGCTTTATTTTCTCTTTCTATAATTATCCTTAGTTGGATGGTGTACCTCCTGGATCAGTCTTCTAACATTTTTACTTAAAAATGTTTCTACATTGGAATTTGGAATTTTGGGTTCTATTTTCTGGGAGAACCCTTCAATTTTATCTCCCAACATTTCTATTGAAATTTTTAATTCTCACCTTAGCTTTAAATTCCCAAGAGATCATCTATTTTTGGTCCCTAATGTTCTTTTTTTTTTTTTTTTTTTTTTTTTTGAGACGGAGTCTTGCTCTG